TCAATTATAGAAGATTTGAAACTACTGATATCCTACTATTTAACCACTACTGGACTTCCCTGGTGGTCCAGTGGATAAGACTCCGTGCTCCCAATGCAGGGGGTCCAGGTCCATCCCTGGTCGGGGAACTAGATCCCACATGCTGCAACTAAGAGCTGGCACAGCCAAAGGAAAAATAAAATAACCACTCCCCCAAAAAACCTGTCCTAAATACTAACATCCATTAATTAAAAAAAAAAAAAACAAAACTGCACTGTTTCACGGAGAGACAAGCTTCTGCTAATATTCAGCCATCAGCTAATATTCAAACATTAAAATCCAGACATTGTTGACTATTACATGTAAACAAACCTGAGTTGTAAATACACCTTTACTTTTCTGGTCATGGCACAAATAACTTGGCACATTTAAATTTTCATACATGAAAAAAAAGAATATGGCTTAATATTTTTATAGTTTTCTCTTACACACAGTGTACTAAATAAACTTCTATCATTATTCTGCAGTCTATTTAAAGACTGAATTTCTAAAGTACCTTCAACTGACTGGTTTGTAGGGTGCACCTTGGGGTGTGGCAGGATGCCCACTTTTCTGACCCACTGCTGGGGGTGAGGTGCCTATCTTCTTGACTGAGGATCAAGTTTCCCTTTTGTCTTCATCAGGCCAGATCCTAGGAAATGCATTCATAACAAAGAGAGCTGTTGACATCTTGCTGGCAGAAGAGCCCAGGAAAGTCAGTGATAACTTATTCCCAGTTGAAACCTTTGATCCCCTTATCTGACCAGCTGCCTAGCAGAGCCTCCTGAATCAAACTTGGGCTTTAAGAAGATCTTTCAGCTTGGGGTGCATTTAAAACACTCAAGGGAGAGATGATGTGGGTAAATACCTTTAATTTTTTCTTTTGTCCTCACCATGTGGCATGTGGGATCTTAGTCCCCTGACCAGGGATCGAACCCATTCCCCTGCATTGAAAGCACAGTCTTAAGCACTGGACCACCATGGAAGTCCACCAGATACCTTTACTCAGATGTGGCAACATAGGAAGGCAGGAGAATATAAACTGAGAACATGGGCACTGGTTCAAATTCCTCTAGAAGCAGCACGAACCTAGGAAGATGATGAACTGACCTCTCCCCGAGGTTCTCTGCACTGTTCTTACATAGAGCCTACAGTATCACGGTGTGAGGCTTAAAATGGTTAAATACAAGGAAAGATTAAGAAAGAGTACTTCAGAAGTCCTCTTTAAGTGCTTGCTCAGTAAATGTCCAGAAGCAAAAGCTAGAAACTGGGTCGGATTGCCTCCAGAGAGAGGACTTGGATAGCTATAGGACAGGGAAGGGTGGATGTTTACTTTTCATCCTGTACATGGGAAGGGTGCTTTTGAGGCTCGTGCAGAATACATCTAAATGTTTCCCATGACTCCCCATGTCAGCCTCGTGGCGGGGACAGTGCAGGGGCTGTAGCCCACATGGTGGTGTTGTTACTTAGTCGTTAAGTTGTGTCCGACTCTTTGTGACCCCATGGGCTGTAGCCCTCCAGTTCTCTCTGTCTATGGGATTTCCCAGGCAAGAGTACTGGTGTGGCTTGCTAGTTCACAGAACTGAAATTGAGACATTTTAAGGGCCTCGTCCAGAGTCACATGATGCATGATGGAACTGAGACAGGAATGTAGTTGGTTCCTTGAGGACGGAGATCCCTGAATCTCTAAGACTTCCCAATGATGCCCTATTCGCCAACCAAGGGCTCCTCTCCCCCTCTTTTTCAAAATATCCTGCCCCAGGGTTTCTGCGGGGAGAGAACTGATACCCCGGAGGAGGTCTTGAGCCAAAAGAATGGCTCAAACCCTGAGCCAGCCCCCAACCTCTAGGATTTAATCCTTGACCCCAAACATGACAGATATCTCCAAAGGAAGCCCCTCTGAAGGACCAGGGGAAGTCCAACCATGTGTTCATCCTACCCCAGCGTCTTCACACTGTCAGCTGTCTCACGCCTGAGCCTTCCTGATGACCAGGTGACCACCCTGCGTGACCAGCGGTCTGTTTGACCCCTAAGCTGGCTCAGAACTTAGGACATTCCAAACCAACTGTCACATGATGGCTCTGCCAAGATTTAACTTCCCTTCAACGGGCGAGCCTTGGATGCGCAAGCAGTTCATACAAATTTAACTGGAAAAGTAGCCATCTAGGCTGGTACACTGGGAATTTAATGAATTAAGTCTGTGACCCTCAATGTCTTACTGACTTAAAGAATTTTTTTTTAATTTATTCACTTAGTTTTGGCCGTGCTGGGTCTCCACTGCTACACGGGCTTTTCTCTAGTTGTGGAGAGCAGGGGCTGCCCTCGAGTTGTGGTGAGGGGGCTCCTCATTGCAGTGGCTTCTCTTCTTGTGGAACACAGGCTCTAGGGCAGGAGGGCTTCAGTAGTTGTGACACGTGGGCTCCAGAGCACAGGCCCAGTAGTGGTGGTGAATGGGCTTAGTTGCTCCAAGGCACGTAGGATCCTCCCAGATCAGGGATCGAACCCCTGTCTCCTGCACTGGCAAGTGGATTCTTTGCTATTGGGGGAAGCCACCAGGGAAGCCTCTCACGGACTGCTGAGGTGAGCCACTGTCTGAGCAGCCTGGGCTGGGGAGGGCCTGAGGAAGGGCCCTGGCCTGCACTGGCTCTGAGAGCTCACCCTCCCTACTCATCCTTTCTCACCAGAGTCCAGGCCCTGAAGGTTCCTCCTCCATCCCCAGACCCTGTAGAAGCAGAGGACAGACTCCCGTCTCCTCCTCTGAGAGGGACCTCTCCAGAGCCCCACCCTAGAAACCCCACCCCGGGACTATTCCTGAGGATGACCCAGGCCCTTCTAACTTCTGTCACCAAATGTTTATTTCACTAAACCAATGGCTTTGTCCCTTCTCTGCAATCATCAAGTAAGCAAGCGGAAGCATGCATGCTCAGTCGTACCTGACTCTGCAACCCCGTGGACTGTAGCCCACCAGGCTCCTCTGTCCGTGGGACTCTTCAGGCAAGAATACTGGAGTGGGTTGCCATGCCCTTCTTCAGGGGATCTTCTCAACTCAAGGACTGAACCTGTGTTTCTTCGCATTGGCATTTGGGTTACCACGAGCCCTACCTGGGAAGCCCAACCACTCGTACAAGCCAGTACTTTCCCACACTTGATCAACAGTTCCCTTGACACATAAGGACTGTGCCAAGTAATGAGAAAAAAATGTTACATGATGAAGTTAACATGAGGGTTCTGGAAGGAAGACAGGGAGAGGGAAGGAGTGAGCTGTAGGCAACGGGGGAGGGGGTTGGCAGCGGAGGGAGCAGGACCAGGGCCTCTGTCTGCTGTCCTGAGGACTGAGCACTGGGATGGGGCAACAGCCTCGAACCACCCACCTTTGAGAGGGGAAGGTGGCAGGCGGGGGAAGGGGACGAGTGCTGTATCTCCACGTGCCGGGACTGCTCTGGAAGTAGAGGGGTGAGGGCTAGACGTGGGTTTCAATGGAAACAGGGCTCACGCGAGGCCTAGCCTGGGAGGAAGGTAGACACTGTCTGTCCCCAAAGTTCTCGGCTCAGGTCTTCATCCGCCTCTTAGACCCCAGGAGAGTGGACCGCGCCCTGGAGGAGGAGGACTTGGTTGACGGCTCAACTGTCTTGAGTCCAGCCAAGTCCTCAGCAGGTTGACGGGTCCCTAAGAGGACGGCGTCTCCTGGCTGTGAGCCCCTGGAGCTGGGGCTGCTGGGGGTAGAGGCTGGGGTGGACACGCCCCTGAAGGCAACCTTGGCTGGGGGTGGGCTGTCTTCTCGGCTGGAAGTATGGGGGCTCTGCCCGGGGGCACCCCCAGGCACGTGACTGAAGATGGGGGCAGTAGCACCTCCAAAGCCAGGCTTCTCATGAGTGCTGGGCTTATTCTTAGCAGTGGGCTTATTCTTATCCCTGGGCCCCATAATCACCATGGGGGGGCTCTGGCCAGGAAGGCCCCGGTGTTCTGGGCCACTCTTCCCGCTCTGCTGTGTGTGGTTCTCCGGGCTCCCCTTCTCTGTGTTGAAAGGCTGAGAGCAGCAAAGAGGCAGCTGACATCCAGGACGGACGCTCCACTTCCAACGCCCCGAGGTGCGGCCGAGCCCCCCGGCCTGCAGGGGGCTGTGCGTGATCCACCGACTGCTGGGCAGCGCGGCCCGCTGCGGGGCCCCGCACTGGGCACGGCCTGGGGCACGCAGGTGGCAGCGGCAGGGGCTGGGCCAGCTGGGAATGCAGCCGAGGCCGGCTGGGTGCTGGCACGGGTGCCCATGGGGGAGTTGGTGGGTGGAGCTGGGGGGCCTGGAGCAGAGGTTGGATTCCCCGTTAGGGCTGGAGCTGCCGGGTTTCCACAGTGTGGTGAGTGGCCCCAGGCGGGGGCTCGGCGCTGCTGCACATCAGGGACCCCAGAGGTGGGCTGGGCCGGGGCTCTGGTGTGAGAGGAGCAGCTGAACCGGAGTCCAGGCAGGCTGGTGCTGACCGTGGCAGAGGCCGCGCTGTCCCTGGGGGGTGTCTGCAGGGCCTGGGAAGATGGGAAGAGGCTCCTGCTGGATCCAGGGGGAGACCCGAAGAGGGGAGACGGGGAGGGTGGACTGGTGTCCATGGGGGTGACCTGAGTGTCAGAAGCGGGGTGGGGAGTCAGGCCCCCAGATGTGCAGGGTGAGGGTCTGGTTTGGAGAGAAAACCCGATGAGCTGGCTGATGAGCTGGCCGATGGGGAGCAGGGATTGAGGATCAGATACGGGAGGGGGGCTATGGCGGGTGAAGACAGGAGAGTCCAGGCACATGGGTGTGGGGGACCCCAAGCCCGAGGAGCCCGGCGCTGCAGGGAAGGCCTGTGTGGCATCTTCCGCAGCCGGGCCCCACGCCGGGGGCTGGCAAAGGCCTCCTCCTCCTGCCGCGCTCCTAAGAGGCCCCCGGACGGGCCTCTGGAAGCCGGGAAGCCAAGCCGAACCCGGGGCCCAGGCCGGAGCCGGGCTTCCCCTCGCACCCGCCGTGCCTGTTGCGGGGGCCGAAGCAGGGGCCGAGGGGCTTGGCGGCCGAGCATTCAGGCTCGCGCTGCCCGATCCTGGGGAGGAAGCTTGGGTGGGCAAGGTGAAAGGGCCGGGGGGCCGTGAGTGGGAAGGAGGGCCCGGGAGGGGCTGGGACCTGGGAGACAGGGGCCGGGAGGAGCCGTGCCTTCCCCCTGACCAAGGATGCGCAGCGGGGGCCCCTCCAGCAGACTCCCGGGCGTCTACTGGCGCTGGGGAGGCCGACTCCCTCTGGCCTCTCTCGGGCCGAGGAGCCCTGCCGGGGACCGGAGGGTCGGCCGGTGCGGGGAAGGGACGGTAGGGCTGCGGGGACGGGGTCTCATCCCGCAGCGCGCTGTTGATGCGCCGGAGCGCCGCTGCTTTCTCCGCGTCCAGGTCTCCGGCGGTGACTCGGAAACCCAGCTCAGGGGGTGCGGGCAGCCTCAGCGGCTCCCCTCGCCTGCGCGGCAGCAGAGGAAACCTGCGTTTTCCGGGCCTGGGACTGTCCGATGTGGGGGGGCCATTCTCCCAGGTGCGTTTCTGCCCCCTGGAAGCTTCCGCGTCCTCAGGCCGGCTGTTGCTCTGGGAAGCCACCGGGGCGGCACAGGGCGGCGCCGGGCCCCCGTCGCTCGCTTTCCTCGAGGACCTCCGGGGCAGCCCTCGCGGCATGCGGGGGCCCGTCCTCCTCTGCCCTGGCGGGAAACCTCGGGTGGAGCTGTGGGAGCTCGTGATGGCGTTTCTTTGGGGGCAGGAGCTCACACAAGAGGTCTGGAGTTTCTCGGCGGATGTGTCTACCGAGCTCTCGGCGTGGAGGTTTCTCCGCAGAGGCCCAGGCCTGGGCACGAAGGCAGAGAAGTCTCCCCGGGCCCCAAAGGGCCTAAATGTTGACCGTGCACCCCGAGAGCCATCGGGACCCCCTTTCTGATGGTCCTTCTGTCTGAATGCGGGGTCTCCCTCCTGCTGGGCCAGCCCCTTCCCGCTCTCTCCCAGGGCGCTCCTCACCGTCTTCTCTGTGCAGGAGCCCGGGGCACACCTGAGTGTGGTGGGCGGCACGGGGGTGACCTGCTGCTGGCGCCCACCACACCCAGGGACCGTGCCCACTGCGGACGCTGAGCCGCGGCACATCGTGGAGATGCGAGCACCCAGCACCGCCTTCCTCTGATGGTGTCGCCTGCAGAGGGAGGTGAGGACCCCCAGGAAGGAGCGCAGGGCCTGCGGGATCATACACCACCATCTCAGAGACGCTCGGACAAAGCGCAGAGTCACCGGATACTTGTGGGCTGGCCTGCGAGTGGACAGCGGGGCACGGACAGCTGGGTGACCTGGGCCGGCCACGGAAAACCGGCGGGGGCGGGGATCGGGCTGGGGGCAGCCGAGCCGTCCTGGCAGGTGCTGGCCCCCCAGAGCCCGGGGTGGGGGTGAGGGGCAGGGCCTGCCCAGGTAAGTGCCCATAGGGCACGTGGGTGGGTGGTCGGCGCTTGGATAGAGGGATAACTTCAGAGAGCTCTGGTTCAACTGCCAAGTCAGCCAAAGGTGAAGTGAGCAGTTTGGCGCGTTGCTGGGACGCAGCTCGAGAGCCTGTGAGCAAAGAATGGGCGCCCGTGCACGGGGCGCGCAAAGGGTCCGGAGAGATGGCGCATGCGCGGGGGAGTGTCAGTGTGTGTGTGTGTGTGTGTGTGTGTGTGTGTGCGCGCCCCTGGGGCGGGGGTGTGTGTGTGTTTGTGTCCCTGGGGCGGCCTAGGGATGCACTGCCGAACTGGGGCGCTCCCAGATCTCCAGGGTCTGTGGGTTGGAGGTTTTTGCCCTGAGAGTGATGAGCTTCTTGACAGGGCACGTACCCCTTCTCCCGGGCTGAGCTCTAATTGTACAGGATCGGTCCCTGCCCAGCAGAGTGGAAACTCTGGGGAGCAGGGTACCTTGCTCAGGAGCCGCTGCATGGGATGGCAGCTTTGACATCAGCACTGCGGGTCCTCCTGCCCTCTCACCTGGTTACAATGGAAAGGAGATCTGCTGGGGTGACAACTGAAATGGCGGCCTGGGCAAGTGGGAGGGACCTATACTCCCTGTGTATTTCCTAGTCCATTCGCGGGGGAGAAGTCTAAGTTCCATGGGTGCTAAATAACACCCAGAGATCTCCTAATCACAGAGAAAATCCATTGTGAACTCAGGGATATCTCAAGAAGCTGGACACACCCCATAGGTCAAGCCCACCTCAGCCCTGAGACACTCTCCTGCCTTCTGTTTCAGCTGAGCTCAGACTGAGTCTTAGCCTTTCTCCATTACTACAGTAGTCTTCCATATCATCTTCCTTGCCTGTTTAACTTTTTTTCCCCCTTTTTTTTAGCCACACTGGCCATGAGGGTTCTTAGGTCCCCACTGGGGTTGGAACCTGCAGGGTTCCGCCTGCAGTGGAAGCTGGTGTCTTAACCACCGGACCTCCGTGGAAGTCCCCTGTTTAAGTTGTTTTGGGTGCAATTTTTGCTTTGACCACAGGAAAATGTAGAGGCTTTACGGCAATATAGATTCTGTTACCCTTTGCTTATAGTTGTCATGGGCTTCTCCCCACCCTGCAGTGTTAACAGCTTGGTATTAAGCCCCCAATGGGCAAGGGAAGGAGAACGCTGTTATAGACGGGAAAAGGAGGTTGGGCGGGCTCTAGAAAAGTGGTCTTGGCTTTTCATCGGCTGAAACCTTGCCAGGAAAGCAAAGGAGTCTTCCTTCTTCCTGTTGTGCTCTGCTATGGTCCTTTAAAGTGCATGAGCGCTCCCACTCTGGCCTCCCAACTCTATTTGATTGAAGTTTCTGTTTATTAATTTTTTACAGAAGCATCATGGCTGAGGTTGAAAACAAGTCTTGTCTTCTCTAGGTGTCTTCAATGAATTAAACAGCAAACAAAGTGACATACCGTATGCCCATCTGGGTCGTAAAATAAAGATGAGTGGATAGATGCCACCCACCTGGTCAATGAATAAAATGACACTATTAATTCGTAATTGTTTTCCACCTTAAAACAATAGCCATTTATTTATTTGTTTTCATTTAATTGTATTGGTTGGAGGCTAATTACTTTCCAATATTGTAGTGGTTTTTGTCATACATTGACATGAATCAGCCATGGATTTACAAGTATTCCCCACCCCAATCCCCCCTCCCACCTCCCTCTCCACCCGATTCCTCTGGGTCTTCCCAGCGCACCAGGCCCAAGCACTTGTCTCATGCATCCAGCCTGGGCTGGTGATCTGTTTCACCCTAGATAATATACATGTTTCAATGCTGTTCTCTCGAAACATCCCACCCTCGCCTTCTCCCACAGAGTCCAAAATTCTGTTCTGTACATCTGTGTCTCCTTTTCTGTTTTGCATATAGGGTTATTGTTACCATCTTCCTAAATTCCATAGATATGCGTTAGTATACTGTATTGGTCTTTCTCTTTCTGGCTTACTTCACTCTGTATAATGGGCTCCAGTTTCATCCATCTTATTAGAACTGATTCAAATGAATTCTTTTTAATGGCTGAGTAATATTTCATGGCTGAGTAATAATACCATAGCTTCCTCATCCATTCGTCTGCTGATGGGCATCTAGGTTGCTTCCATGTCCTGGCTATTATAAATAGTGCTGCGATGAACAACAATAGCCATTTATTGTCACACAGTTCTGTAAGTCAGAAGTCCATTCTGGCTAAATTGGATTCCTTACTCATGGTCTGGAGGTGTGAGGCCAGCTGCCTCCTTTGATTGTTTTAGATGACACCCAGAGAACCAGGAAAGTGTAGGGAGGATGAAAATCAGGAGAAAATATAAAAGGAAGTCAGGCTGATTTCAAATTATTACATTTTAAAAAAATACTTTTTGTCCACGCCTTGAGGCATGCAGGATCCTAGTTCCCCCACCAGGGATCGAAACCCATGCCCCCTGCATTGGAAGTACATCATAACCACTGGAACACCAGGGAAGTCCCTCAAATTATTACATACAATTGTTTATCATCCCAGAGTAACTGTTTGTGGCCTACTTTTTTCTGGATATCTTTGTATTTGTCCAAAATCAAGGCCACAGACTCTGCTTTAGACTAAGTTGTTCACTTTAAAGAATTTTGAAGATCACACCAATGGGCTTCCCTGGTGGTTCAGTTGGCAAACAATCCGCCTGCAATGCAGGAGACCACGATTCAACCCCTGGGTTAGGAAGATCCCCTGGAGAAGGAAATGGCAACCCACTCCAGTATTCCTGCCTGGAGAATCCCAGGGACAAAGAAGCCTGGCAGGCTACAGTCCATGGGGTCTCAAAGAGTCAGGCATGATTGAAGCAGCTTAGCACGCACAACCCAATTAAAACTGGTAACAGATTCTGTTAGAAATGTTTATAAATTGTCCTGGGAGAGAAACAGAAAGCAATGTTTTGCCTGGAGACAAAAGGAGTGGTTCCTAGAGTAAGGAACAGCTGATCAATGGGCATTGGGTGCAGCGGAATTTCGCTGTCATTCAGGGTTAAACGCCTCCAGGAAGAAGGAAAGCTGAACATTTACCTATGAATTTAAACTCCTGTAATTTTTAATATTGTCACCCTGCTCACTTAACTTATATGCAGAGCGTATCATGGGAAATGCAGGCTGGATGAGGCACAAGCTGGAATCAAGATTGCGGGGAGAAATATCAGAAACCTCAGAAATACAGATGACACCACCCTTATGGCAGAGAGTGAAGAAGAAGTAAAGAGCCTCTTGATGAAAGTGAAAGAGGAGAGTGAAAACGTTGGCTTAAAGCTCAACATTCAGAAAACTAAGATCATGGTATCCGGTCCCATCACTTCATGGGAAATAGATGGGGAAACAGTGGAAACAGTGACAGACTTGATTATATTCTTGGGCTCCAAAATCACTGCAGATGGTGATTGCAGCCATGGAATAAAAAGACACTCACTCCGTGGGAGTCAAGTTATGACTAAGCTAGACAACATATTGAAGAGCAGAGACATGACTTTGGCAACACAGGTCCATCTAGTCAAAGCTATGGTTTTTCCAGTAGTCATGTAGGGATGTAAGAGTTGGACTATAAAGAAAGCTGAGTCCTGAAGAACTGATGCTTCTGAACTGTGGTGTTGGAAAAGACTCTCGAGAGTTTCTTGGACTGCAAGGAGACCCAACCAGTCCATCCTAAAGGAGATCAGTCCTGAATATGCATTGGAAGGACTGAAGCTGATGATGAAATTCCAATACTTTGGCACCTGATGCAAAGGACTGACTCACTGGAAAAGACTCTGTTGCTGGGAAAGATTAAAGGCAGGAGAAGGAGATGACAGAGAATGAGATGGTTGGATAGCGTCACTGACTCGATGGACATGAGTTTGAGCAAGCTCTGGGAGTTGGTGATGGACAGAGAAGCCTAGCGTGCTGCAGTCCATGGGGTCAGAAGAGTTGGACACCACTGAGCGACCAAACTGAACTGAACTGAATTTTTAATAATCTTGTGAGGAGGAGATAGTCAGGATATTGTAGTTATCAAGAGACAAACGGCTACAAAACTAAGCGGTCACAGGATCAGATGGGTCCTTGCCTTCTGGTGGATATTTCAGAACGTGGAAGGGAGGTGAGAGGTCTCGCTTAGAACATGGAAGAGCAAGGTCCTTTCATAGACTTTGACACAGTGCCACCTAGTGGGTTGCTGTGAGATGGCTAAACCCTTTCATGATGACTGACTCAATGGACATGGTCTGTCTCTCAGTCGTGTCGAACTCTTTGCAACCGCATGGGCTGCAGCACACCAGGCTTCCCTGCCCTTCATCATCTCCCAGAGCTTGCTCAGAGTCACATCCCTTGGGTCAGTGATGCCATCCAACCATCTCTTCATCTGTCATCCCCTTCTCCTCCCGCCTTCAATCTTTCCCAGCATCAGGGTCTTTTCCAATGAGCTGGCTCTTGGCATCATGTGGCCAAAGTGCTGTGAGCTTCAGCATCAGCATCAGTCCTTCCAATGAATCTTCAGAGTTGATTTCCTTTAGGACTGACTGGTTTGATCTCCTTGCTGTGCAAAGGACTTTCAGCACCACACTTCACAAGCTTCAATTCTATGGCTCTCAGCCTTCCTTATTGTCCATTTCTCACATCTGCACATGACTACTGGAAAACCATAGCTTTGACTATGCAGATCCTTGTCAGTAAAGGGATGTCTCTGCTTTTTAATATGCTGCCTAGGTTTGTCATAGCTTTTCTTCCAATCTTCTCTTTTAATTTCATGGCTGCAGTCCCCATCAGCGGTGATTTTGGAGCCCAAGAAAATAAAGTCTGTCACTATGAATGACTTCAGTGGACAACACTGACTCAATGGACAGAAATTTGAGCAAGCTTCGGGATACAGTGAAGGGCAGGGAAGCCTGGTGTGCTACAGTCCATGG